AGAGGGGTGTGATTGTCACATCACAAGAAGAATGGAATGGGAGCTGTTGTGGCCATCTTTGGAAAATATAAAATGTCACCGAGGGGGAAGGTACATGTAAGAACTATATAAGCACTATGGCCGGGGACATTCAGGACAAGGGCAAATGTCCCTGATCCTCACTGTCTTAACAGCTAGAGCTTTGGTAGACAGCATGGCCCCAAATCAGTCAGGAAAGCTTAGCTGTGTCAGTCCTGTCTGCAAGTTCATGAAGCGCTGGGGAAGATTTCTGTCGGTAATGGGAGCATTTCCCATTTAACATGTTTTGAATTTTAAAGCTCCAAGTGTTGGTGATCTTAAAAATTCCTCGGTGGTGCTGAAAAAGTGAAACGGGCCACAAATAACTCCTAAGAGCTTTGGGGAAGGAAGGCCAGGGACTTTTCCAAGCATGCCTGGCCCACTAAGGGTCATGTCCCTCAAAAATTATCCGGAGAAAAGGATATGCCTGGCACCCATCTCCTCAACCACAGGAAAGGCCTGGAATATTCTGGGGAGATGTTCCAGTGGGATCTGGTGTGTGCACATTCCATGCAGAGGTTGTGGAACAGAATCATAGGGCAGGGGTGAGGGTGCTGGCGTGGGCAGAACCCAACCCTGATTTCTTCTCTTCTTGTTTTTTACCCTAGGCTCTGCCTCCTTTTCCCTCCTGCCAGCTGGAGCCAAATCATTCAGATTTCCAGATTGTGAGGAATCCTTCAGCCCCCGTGGTGTAGCCACTGACACACTATCCAGCTGCCACAGTTGTGGGTGTTGAACTCTGCCCTTACCCTTAGGCCTTCAGTGGCACTATGTGGATCTCCCTGGGGCCTCCAGGAGGAGAAACTTGCTCTGTCTCCTTGGCCAGGAAAAGTGAAGCTGTGTGACCTAGAACACGCACCCCTGACCTCTCTGAGCCACTCCTAGTAGCAGCCTGTGAGTTGCTTGTCTCACTAAGTAGCTGGGAAATAACAGCATGAAAGTGCCTCAGAGCCAGGTGCGGTGGCTCACGCCTGCAATCCCAGCACTTTAGGAGGCCGAGGCAGGTGGATCATGAGGTCAGGAGATCGAGACCATCCTGGCTAACACGGTGAAACCCCGTCTCTACTAAAAATACAAAAATTAGCCGGGCGTGGTGGCGGGCGCCTGTAGTTCCAGCTACTCAGGAGGCTGAGGCAGGAGAATGGCGTGAACCCGGGAGGCGGAGCTTGCAGTGAGCCGAGATTGCGCCGCTACACTGCAGCCTGGGCGACAGAGTGAGACTCCATCTCAAAAAAAAAAAAACAAAAAAACAAAGAAAGTGCCTCAGAAAGGAACTATAAGTGACTGTACACTTACTATGCATCATTAGTAATAACAGCACTCCCCTTCCAAGATGACAGAAGAAAGGGATTCAGCAGCAGAAGGCACATGCTCTTTTGCTTCTGGGCGCCAGCAAACCCTTCACTGAGCATGTATTGAGCATCTGCTGCATATCAGGGCCTAGGAAGCACCATGGACACAATAACGCACTCGGTGTGCACAGCCCCTGCCCTCAAAGGCCTCCCATGTTGGCTCTTCCAGAAACACAGGAGCTGGGGAGGTGGCATCAAAGCAGAGACCTGAAAGATACTGAAGAATTAGCCAAATGGAAAGGACAGGGTGATTTCCTCATAGAGGAACTGCATGTGCAAGGGCCCAGGGCCCAGGGAGCAGGCGGCTTCTGGGGAAAGACCAGCCATTCGGATGGCTGGAGCATAGGGCCTCAGCACCCATGCAGAGCTTGAGGGGGATTAAATAGTAAGAGAATAAAGAAAGAAAACGCACAGAGTGTTAGGAAGTGGTGAGAGCTACAGAGAAGAATAAAGAGACGGGCGTAGAGATGGGGGAGGATAGGAATGTGGGTGGGTAAGAATGGGGCAGGGACAGGGATGAGGCGGGTGTAGGGATAGTGCAGAGGGTGAGGCTGCCATTTTATTTTTATTTATTTATTTATTTATTTATTTATTTATTGAGATGGAGTCTCACTCTGTCGCCCAGGCTGAAGTGCAGTGGTGCGATCTCAGCTCACTGCAAGCTCCACCTCCCGGGTTCACACCATTCTCCTCCCTCAGCCTCCCAAGTAGCTGGGACTACAAGCGTCCGCCACCACGCCCAGCTAATTTTTTGTATTTTTAGTGGAGACGGGGTTTCACCATGTTAGCCAGGATGGTCTCGATCTCCTGACCTTGTGATCCGCCTGCCTCAGCCTCCCAAAGTGCTGGGATTACAGGCATGAGCCACTGCGTCCGGCCAAGGCTGCCATTTTAAATAGCAGAGGGGCTGCACTGACAGAGGATATCTGTGCAGAGGTCAAAGAAATGAGGGAGTGAGCCCCGTGGGCATTTGGGGGAAGAGCATTCCCCGCAGGGGAAGCAAGAGCAAAGGCCCTGGGCCATGCACTCCACACCTGAGGGGAGCGGCGGGGCCGGTGCGGTGGAGTGAGCCAGCTGGGCGGAGACGGAAGGGGAGGCGTGGGAATGTCGGAAGTCAGACCACGCAGTCCACTGTGGGGACCTGGGCTTCCATCCCAAATGAAAGGCAGCCATGGGGGTGCCCGCCAAGGCAGGGATGAGGGTAGACGTGGGTTTAACAGAATCCCTCTGGGCCCTGTGAGGAGAGGCTGAATGGGTAAGGGAGGAAGGAGCAAGGGAGGAGGCAAGAGAGATGATGCTGGCTGGACCAGGTGGTAGCCGTGGCCATGGTAAAGAGTGACTGGCTTCTGAACATATTTTGAAAATAGAGCCACCAGAAACCGGAGAAAGAGAGGGGAGGGGAGGGGAAGGGAAAGGGGAGGAGAGGGGAGAGGAGGGGGCAGGGGACAATAGTGACTCTGTGGCACGCATACTTCTCTGTTCTCTTGCACTGTATGACAGACATAATTAACACAGGCCTTCTTCCCATTGAGACCAGATTGGTTCTTGGAATCCTCCTCAACCCAGACCTATATGGCATCACTCCCACTAATCAGGACTGGATGTCCAATGAGGCCAGGAGGCAGAATGGGTTCACACAGGAATACGCACCATCATTTGTGAGCATCTACCATGTTCCTGGCACGAGCTAGTTGCTTTTCCAATTCTCTCATTTCAAGGAGAGACAAACTGTGGGATTGGCAGTAGCATCCTTATTTAACAGATGAGACCAGGGCTCTAGCAGTCCACACAGAACTCCCCAGCTAAGACGTTTAGAGCTAGGATTCAAACGCAGTGGTCACTTATTCCAGTGCCAGCCCCAGCTCCCCACGGGAGACCCCCTCCTCACTCTGCTCAGGCCTCACCCACCACACCTGGGCCTCCTGGCCATGCCAGGGCTCCACATTCCAACAGGCTGGTAGAGGCAGGTGTGGGCAGAGCATGCCTGGAGGCTGAGAACCGCACCTTCTAGCCCCAGTGCCTTCCTGGGGCAGGGTGGCTCAAAGGGGCATGTGTGCCTATGCCAGGAGCCAACACTGGCTGGGGAGGGCCTCACCCCACCTGGGGGCTGCCAGCCCGCCTGCTGGCCAAGGTCTTCACCAGTGCCTTCTCTCCTCTGGCACACCCATCAGCTCAGCGTGAAGACTTGCTAAGGAAAAGGTACGACTGGGAACACGAAGCTGTCCATACCTGGAGATGACTCCAGCAGCCAGGAGGTGGGGTTGGCCTCTTACCTGGGCACACTCTCTCCACGGGAGCATCCTCCACACAGTTAGAGTGGGCTGTTGATGTGTCTGTCTGTATGGACTGTGAAGGTCACTAAATGTCTGGGACTTAGAAGGCTCCACGGGCAGGCTCCAGAGGCCAGCCAGCCTGAGTTCGGGTGCAGCTCTGCTACTTACTTGCTGTGCCATCTCAAGCTGGTTACATTACCCCTCTGGCCCTATTTCCCGGTAAAAGGGGGCTGGTAATAGCATCCACCTCATAAGGCTCTGCAAGTAATGGGGGCAGGGGTAACTCACATGAAACTTTTAGCACAGTAAGTACTGAGGAAGGTGAACCATTATTATCCTTATGAGCATTCATCCCAAAGTTCTCAAGACTGACACGGACTTGAGCAAGCGCCCAGGAAATCTGTGGGGAGCACAGTGAGGGCCAAGCTCCCTGGGGTGATAGCTGAAGGATGAGGAGGCAAAGAAGACTAGAGGAGAGAAGAAGGAGGAGCTGAGTGTAAGCCCCTGCCAGCCACTGCTTTGCTGTGTGACCTTGAGCAAGTCCATTGCCCTCTCTGGACCTCCATGTCCCCGTTGTTTACATTCGGGACATGCATAAAGGCCCCCTCAGCTCTGCATCTGTTTTTTGGTACCGGCTATGAGCAGATAGAGCAAATTAATTAAATTAATTTGAATTAATTTTAAAAATTAAAAAAGATTTGGAGTGGGCTTGAGACCCCCAGGGCCTCCCACTTTCTTGGAGGGGGGCTCACTTTCCAAGGAAGGTAATTGGGTCTTACTGGCTATTCGGTTTTTCCTGTGCACGGCATTCCTACCCCCTCCTCCCCGCCAGACTGACTTCCTGGGGGTGGCCCTGCTCACTCCCAGTGCTCTATGAAGCTCGGGCTCAGGCCTCCTTAATGCCAGGCCAACTCTTCCTCCTCCTTCCAGACTCATCTGGGCTCCACCTCCTCCAGGAAGCCTTCCTACACCCAGGCAGAGTTAGCTGAGTGGGCCTCCTCATGGGAGGGGGTCTGTTTTGGGTTCTATCTTCCTTCCAGGTACCCAGAACAGGAACCACACTGGCCTGGCATCTGGAGTGAACAAGGGGATGCTGCCCAGCAGATGTCTGTGGAATGGACAGGTCCTGAAGTGCCCATGGGAGCTTGAGAAGAAATCCAGGCAGGCTGGTCAGCCCCAGCTCAGCCCCACCGGGCTGGGACCTCTGGCAGGTGACCAACCCTGCCACCTGTTGGATGGGGACTCATGGCGCTGTGGTGAGGATTAAGTGAGTCAGGAGACTCAGAGCCTGGCGCAGTCCTAAAGACAACGGACTCACCTGGGAGAGAATTTGTCCCCTGCAGATGCTGTCCTGGCCTGCCACCTGGCCCGGGAGTTCACCTCGGCTGCCCTCCACGACTTGCTATTCTGACCTTTTAGCAAACAGCAAGCAGGTCTCTGGTTCTGAACTCTCCCAGATAACAGCATCTACTGAAAATGTGAGAACTGTGTCCTGTCTTCATTATATTTGTTTTCATGGTACCTTCTGTTTATAGCAGCCTCTTCGCAGATATGACGTGGTGTTTCCTTTTTTAAATATGCTGACCTAAGCTGGGCATGGTGTCTTGTGCCTACAGTCCCAGCTACTGGGGAGGCTGAGGCAGGAAGATGGCTTGAGCCCAGGAAGTTGAGACTGCAATGAGCTAAGATTGTGCCACTGCACTTCAGCTGGGGCGATAGAGCGAGACCCTGTCTCTAAAAAGGTAAATGAACAGGCTGGGTGCAGTGGCTCATACCTGGAATCCCAGTGCTTTAAGAGGCCAAAGCATGGGGATCATTGAGCCCAGGAGGTCAAGGTTACAGTGAACTATGGTCCCACCACAGCACTCCAGCCTGGATGACAGAGCAAGACCCTGTGGCTAAAATAAATAAGCAAATAAATCAGCTGACCTAGGCAATAGCATCAGATAGCAGAAGAGCTAAGCACAAGGACTCTGAGACCATGTGAGCCAGGTTCAGATCTCAGCTCCGCCTCTTCATTGCTGTGTGCCCTCAGGTGGGTCTCCTTGCCTCAGTTTCCCCACCTGTACAGTGTAAGGATGGCAGCAGGACCCCTGTCTGGTCTGAGGGCTGTTGTGAAGGTTGATGTGTGCAAAGTTCCTACAGCTGGGCTCAGGGCACGGTCAGGGTTCCTGACTTCTGTGAAGACGTTTTACAAAATGAGCTGACACAAGCGAGCCTGGTGACCTGCAGACACCACAGCCTGGGAAATGCTGGCCCAGTCCACCCCCTCTGCCTGCCCTGCCCCAGGAGGCCTGCTGCTACCTGCCCGCCTCCCTGGCAAGCCCCCAGCAGCACTGCCGTAATCCCCAGGCTGGTAAATGCATGATTAGGTTTCTCAGCTTTTGTCCTGTTACTTGGAGCAATTCTCAGGCCCTGAGCACTCCTCCCACCAGCACCTCCCCACACCAACTCCCAAAGCCCTAGGCCCCGGGTCCACCTCAGCCCCTAGCCTGTGCCTCAGTTTCCTCATCTGTGAAATGGGCAATGATACCTGCCTGTCATTCATGAGTGGGCATAGCGCTGTTCTTACCTCACAAGCCATGGTGAGAAATGGGGCTGCTATCATCACGCAAGCTCATCGTTCCAGTGCTGCAGGTATTGTTCACCTGCTGACTGCGACCTTTACTGAGGGCCCTGAGGGATGCCGCTGTGCCTTCACCAGCCTGCCCATTCCCACCTCTCAGCCTCTTCCTTGGTTGGGACCCTCCCGGGAAAGCCCTTCCATTATCTGCTGTTAGCTCATCTTTCCTGGCCTCTAAACATCCCACAGTGTGGAACCCAGGGGCCATTTCTTGCCACCTGGAGCATGGGTTGGGATGAGGAGGGAGAAAGCAGAGGCCACTCAGACCTGGAGTACCAACCATGTGGCCTTGGGAAGGCCACTTAACCCTGTGTGCCTCCCTTTCTGCATCTATAAAATGGGAACAGTAACCTCTGCTCCTCGTGAGGTTATGGTGGTGATTTTATAAGCCACGTACCCGGCACATGGCCAGCCTCCCGTGGCTGTGCCCACTGGGTGAGAAGGAAATGGGGAGGAAACGTTGCCTCCACAAGGTGGCTTCTGGCACTGTATTTAGCCTTACTACATATAGAAGAAATTTACCTTCTTTGCACTGTCCGATCTGACACCCCTGGGGGCTACCCAGCACCTCTCCATGGCACCCCCATTCATTCCGCCTCCACAGTGGCCAGTGCACAGCTCCCAGGCCCCCTGTCTGAGCAGCTCCTCCCCTGCTCGAAGCCTCTGATGGCTCCTACTGCCCTCAGCCACTCTCCCGCTGCCTCAGCTGGTGTCCCGGCCAGGCCCCGTGACAAGTGATTCCCCGTAAGTGCCTCATGTTCTTCCGGTTTGGCCAGCAGCCCAGAGGCCTCTTGGGCCAGCCCCACCCCACCACCTGCTAAAATCTTATTTGTACTTCAAAGCCTCAGGTATGCCGCCCTCCTGGACAAAGCTGGAGACCAGGGATCAGCCAGGCCTGCGTTTATATCACTGCCCTCTACTCACTTGCTACCTGGTCTAGGCTAAGTAGCCTTGCCTCTCTGAGCCTCAGTTTCCCAATCTGCAAAACAGGTTCCTGATGGAGATTAAGGATGATGTAATTTATTGGATGGTTCCAGTGCTCTAGACATGCAGCCAGGCATATTACCAGCAGGATTCATTCTCTCTTCCCAACTGTTCTGTGACCTGGGGCACAACCAGCATTCAGAAGCAATGATGTCATGTGTACTCATTCATCTAGTCCTCAAAGCAACGCCATAGGAGAAAGACTGGGATTACCCCCACTTTATATATGGGGAAACTGAGGCACGGGATGGTGAAGAGAGCAGCCCGAGGCGACACCCTAATACATGACAGGGCTGGGATTCACTCCAGGCAGCCCCACCCCTGGACCCTTGCAGTCAGTCATTGTGTGATAGGATCTTTGAATATCCCCATTTTAGATGGTGGAACTTAGATCCAGAGGGAAAAATGACTTGTCCAAATTTGCACAGCTGGGACCCAGCAGAGCCCAACACACAAGAGGTGCTCTGGAAACATTTCCCCAATCCTACTTCTCAGACCTGGGGAAACAGGGTGGTTGCTAGCTGACACTGTCCCTCCATTCCCATTTCCTCACCCCAGGGGTCCTACTGGGTCCAAGCCAGACATGGTGGGCAGGGAGGAGGGCTCGGTAGGCTGAGGCTGCCTCCAGTTGCCCCAGGTTGGGGCCCTGTGCCTGCTGTCTGGGGACGGGGTTGCTGGGCTCCCTGGTGCTCCCCGCCCCCACATTCCAATCTATGCATCCCCACCCCCATGTCTACCTGTATGCACTTGATTCTGTTCTCTCCACTTTTGTCCCTGATTGTATCTGACTCCTAGGCTTCTCTCTCTCTCTCTCTCTCTCTCTCTGTCTCTCTCCCTCCCTCACTCTCCCTCTCTCTCCTTCCCTTTTCTACTCCATCCCCTGTCTCTGCCTGCTGTCTCTGTGGGGTATCCACTCTCTGTCTGGGTTCCTCTCTGTCACTGTCTCTCATCGTCTCTGAGATATGGGACACGTATCCATGGTTCTTTGCCATAGGCATTTGGGGCTGTCAAAGGTAAGAACGTCCAGCTGGAAAGCTGGAAAGGCCTCAGAGACCACCTTGTTCCACCAATGGGCAGTCAAAGTCAGATGTGCCTTAAGACTTGCCTGAGATCACTCAGCAGGTGAGAGAGGGTAAGAAATTCCCCCACCCCACAGATTCAGCCAAAGGTGTGCCGCCCACAGGATCCAGGCTCTGCAGCCCCTCCTCCTCCTACCTCGCTCTGAGACTGCTGGGGCCTCTGCATGGCAGCCCACCCAAGGCTGGCGGATGAGGGCCAAGGGCTCTGTCTGGTGAAGAATAAACTCCAAGGAAGTTTTAGGGCAGAAGAGAACACCTGGGCCGTTCCGGAGGAGGTTGTAAGGGAGGTAGATACTACACATGTGCCTCAGTTCCTCCATCTGTCTCTCTGCATCCATGATTTTCCATCCCATGGAGGGCCATGGCTGGGGCAGGACAGTGGGACTGTCCTCAGGGCCCTCCAGAAGTGGCCTGCCTGCTGGCGTCAACAAGCACCAGCTTGGGGGAATGTGTCTCCCTCCTGTCCTCAGTCACAATCAACTTCTCAATGTGCCCTCTCCCCAGCCCAAAACCCAACCCTTCTATGGAGTCCTCCAGGCTCAGCTCAAGAGCCTTTCTTTCAGGAAGGTTCTATGTGCCCCACCCACAGGCAGAAGGTCCCCCTCCCTCGCTGCCTCACTGGTTGTCTCTCTAGGCTCTCCTGCCTTTTCTCTCTCTCTCTCTCTCTCTCCCCCCATGTCTCTCTGGCTCTCTCCCTTTGCCACCTGCCCCCACACCTCCACACTCTGGCACTTACCAGTCCCCTTTCCCTTGCTGTCAGCATTCACCCTGGAGTCATGTGACATACCCCCCACCCTGCCCCTAAACTGTTTCCTGACCTCACTGCCAGCCCCTCTGCAGGGTGCTGCCCCCTCCATGTCCCATGGAATCCCACACCCCTATGCAAGCGGTCCACTCTGGACAGAAGAGAAAGCCATGGGCTCAGACAGAGCAGACAACCTGCCCAAGTCACACAGCCCAAGTGGTGGCAGCACCGATGTCAACACCCAAGCTGTCTGACCCGATTCCCAGGCTCTTGAATAGACCTGCCATCTCTCCAGCTGGGGTAGGGCCTCTGTTCAGCCCAAATCACCTCACTTTTGTCCCTGATTGTACAGGATCTTTCTGAAACAGATAAACCACAGGGGTGGAGTGGGGGCCTTGACACTCAGCGACACCCCGATGAGGCTTCCCAGCAGGGCCTGGGCTGCCTGAGCCCTGAGCTGTTTCTGAGGGTGACCTGAATTGGCTCTTCCTACCCAGTCTGTGTTTGTGTCAAGCTGGTGCCTGAGCGACGTGAGGGTGGGCAGGCTCCCCTGGCAGCAGCTGCCCCTGCCAGGACGGGCAGGGCCTGTGCAGCCGCCAAGGGTTGATGGTCTTTGCAGGGTGGGCAGCCGGGGAAGGCTGTGGAAATTCTGGGAGAAGCAGCTGCCTCTCCCCGGGGAGTGGGAGGGAGGAGGAGAAAGGAGGGTGGCAGAGACAGCAGGAGGAGGGGTTTTCCTCCGGCTGTCCTTGCAGTGACATGCCTGCATGTCTGGGGCATGAGCTGACTGCCCAACTATGTCCACGGCCACCTACCAGGGCCCGCCCACCCTGGGGACAGGGCTGGCAGCCGGCGGCTTCAGGCTCCAAGATGCTCACCAGTGGCTTTGTAGCCTTCTCTCTGCCTGGAGACCCAGGAGGAAAGACACAGCCCCACTTCCTATAGCCAGGTGAGGGTCTAGGCACCTCCCAAAGCACATCCCACAAGGGAGGAAACAGAGATACGGAGGGAGCAGAGGGGCCTAGGGTCACACAGCCAGCACCCTCTCTGTGATGAGAGCTCATCTGCTGCCCCATTCTAGCTCCTAATCATCAGTCACTCTCAGCCCCCCAGAGCCCTGGATAGCACTTGCCCCTAACAGATGTCCAGTGCATGCTTGTTGAATGAGCAAATGAATAAAAACAGACAAAGCTGGGACAGAGGCACCTCAATGCCCTGAACAGTGTTCCAGCCTTCCTCTGGACAGGTATGGTGCTGATCCCCGTGGTACCAGTCAGGAAACTGAGGCTTAGAGTCTTAGAGTAGCATCCAGCTCAGGACTCTCCTATTCGGCATCCTGACAGGAGGTGTCTTACGGAGCCAGTATCCACCCTGTGGCCTGCATGCTGCGTCCCCAAGCTACCTCTAGGGTGAAATGAGGCCATGGATGGATTTGGGGCTGGGACTGGTTTCTGACCACTGGGCCACCTGCCCAGTGGATGCCTGGTCTAGCCCCCCTTCCTGGTCACCCTCTGAGGACTGAGGTGGCCCCAGGGCTAGGCCAACTGAATATCTGTTCCCATTTTTGATCACATCATTGAATATGAAGGAGCCTGGGAACCATATCCTTTGGAGCTCAACAGAGTTTTTTATGCCCTTGAGAAGCTGGCTGACCCCACACAGCCTTCTTAACTTCTCTGAGCCCCAGTTTTCCCACCTGTAACACAGGACCCCAAATCATGCCACTGGATCAGAGGAAGTCAAACACAGGAACAACAAAAGGGGTTGCAACCTTGCATGAAGCACTATACAGCAGTGAAAATGCATGAACGGCAGCTACACGTGCTGGCATCATGAGCCTCAGAAACACGATGGAAGGAGAAAGGCAAGTTCCAGAAGAAGGCATTCAGTGTGATCCACTTTACATGAAGATTTAAAAAACACACATTTGGTATCTATTATTTGTCAATACATTTATATGTATTAATAGTAAAAGAATAAAAACATACTTTGAACAAGAAGCATCACGTTTAAGACAGTGGTTAGCTTTGGTGAAGACATGGAGGCGTAGGTAGGTGTATGCTTTTGTTTTTCTTTTGAGACAGAGTCTCACTCTGTCACCCAGGCTGGAGTGCAGTGGCACAATCTCAGCTCCCTGCAACCTCCGTCTCCCGGGTTCAAGAGATTCTCATGCCTCAGTCTCCCAAGTAGCTCTGATTACAGGCACCTGCCACCATACCTGGCTAATTTTTGTATTTTTAGTAGAGATGGGGTTTCACCATGTTGGCCAGGCCAGTCTCGAACCCTTGACCTCAGGTGATCCACCCACCTCGGCCTCCCAAAGTGCTAGGATTACAGGCATGAGCCACCACTCCTGGCCTGGTAGGTCTACGTTCAACTGATCCACGATACAGATTTGTTAAAATTTGACCTGCTCAGCATCAGTAGTCCTCATTTCTCTAGCTGTCCAGGCGAGAGATAATGGGGATAAGTACTGTTTTGGAGGTGTATTTTGACAGGGCTTGCTTCGGGGTTGCACGTGCCTTCAGGCAACTGCTTAACCTTGCCAAGCCTCAGTTTCCTCATCTGTGAAGTGGGGAAACAACCCCTGCACGGAGTGTTGAGAGGATTCAAGGCAGCCATAGATGCACATAAAGCCCTCCGTGCAATGCCTGGTGCACTGAGACACTCCTCCAGCAGTGGAAACAACTGAGGTCATCACTAACTTTTGAGGCAGACTGAGGGTGGGGGTCTGTGTGGTGAGCCTGAGACTTGGGGTCCCAGAGCTCATTAGCCCACTAGTAGGCCAGGCCTCTGTAGCTCCCCCGTGGAAAGAGGTCAGGCCTAAATACACTTCACTCCATAGCAATCCCTGCAAATCCCTTCCCGTGCAACTCACAGGCCCCACTAATCAGTCACATGGCTGACCTTGAACACGGAAGCTGACCCACATATGAGTCCACCCACCTCCTCCCGCTGTTGTGAAACCCTGGTCTGGGGTGTCTGCTGCCTGGGGAGAGGAGAGGCCCATTCAGCACCAGAAGCCTGGCACTTTCTGGGAGCTGGGCTGAGAGCTGCCACACCTGCATCTGGGCTCCGGGTCCCCACTTACAAGGCCTGAGAATAGGCCTGGCCCTAGCTTGGCCTGGCTCTGTGACCTTGACCAGTGCTTTGAGCTGTGAGCCTTGTTTCCTCATCTGCTAAATGGGTGTATGATGGGCCCGCAGCAGTAAGATGATGTGTGGAAATTGCTTGGCTGGATGAAGCTACCTTTACTATTGGTATTTATCTCAAGGTCATCTCTAGACTCAGCATCATAACTTTAACCCCATGAGGTCAGAGGCCCTAATCCTCCATGTGACACTGTCCCCTACTTGCCTGAATTCTCCTGGACGTCAAAACCAGCTCAAATGCCACCTCCTCCTGGGCCTTCCTTGATTCCCTCAGGGAAGGAATGTGTGTTTGACTCCCTCTGAACCAGCTTTCTCTGTTCTCTGAGGTCCTGCTGCCCTTCAGCCCAGCTTTCCTGGCACCTCTGGCTGTGAATTTGAGACTCGGCTGTGTGCAGTACTCTCGCTAAAGGGGCTTCTTCGGGCTTTGGTGGCTGCGTTCATCCTTGCGCGGTGCACAGGGCTCTGTTCACTGAATGAGTCCTCTGCATGGAGAGAGTTCTGGGCTTAACTGGAAACTCCACGAGGCCAGGCCTGCTCGCTTCACACTGGATGCCCAAGGCCTAGCATGGTGCCTGGCACACAGGATGCCTGCAGAATGGGCAAGGAGGCTAGAGGGCTGGCTCTTTCCTGTTCTTCGCCATCTGATGCCCGTGCGCCTGCAAGCTGGGTCCTGGGTATTCTCACCTCCTGACAGCCACACCCTCTGTAGGCCCCTCCCACACTGAAGGGGACTGACCTGTGTGACCCATAGGATATTGCAGAAATGATGGTATGTGACTTGCGAGGTTAAGTCATATAGGCATTGCAGCTTCTGCCCCACTCTCTGGAACCACTTCCTTTAGGGGAAGCCACAGGTCCGGCACCCTGTGCAGAGGAACTGAGTCCTCCCACGAAGAGCCAGCACCCACTCCCAGTTTTGTGAGTGAGCTGCCTGGAGAGCAGAGCCTCCAGCCCCAAGCAAGCCTCCCAATGGCAGCAGCTCCCGCTGACACTTGACAGTGACCCATGAGAGACCTCCTCATACCCCCAAGCAGAAACACCCAGCCAAGCCACTCCCAAATTCCTGGCCACAGAATATAACAAAGAGTTATGGTTTTGAGTCTCTCTGTTTGGGGCAATTTGTTACACAGTGATAGGTAACTGATAAGAACAACCTGAGCACCAACCATGTCCCTTGGGGCCAGCAGGATTTCAGGCAGAGGCTGCCCCAGGTTGCTAGAGGATGGCCGGCCAAGTAAAGATCACACACAGGGCTGCAGAGGCCTGATCCTCACCTCCCAGACAAAGGTGGGGAGGTGTGAGCCTGAGCCCTAGGCAGGGGAGAGAGTGCTCTGTTCCAGCGCCAAGCTGGGAACTTGGTGTTCCCAAGAGGCAGACATTGTTTGTCACTCTGGGGTGACGTGCATAGTGCTCCCTGAAGGCAGAGGAGAGACACAGGGCCTCCCTGGTGATTCATAGTGTTCAGGAAGGAGGGGTTGAGCATGTACCTAATCAGAAGCTGCTGCAAGGCCCTGCCTGGTAACCAGTTGTTCTGTTTCTGCATCTTGGCGTCAAACCTGATAAGCCAAGGTTTCCCCGAGTGCAAGCACACCCAAGTAGGACCAGCACATCTTCTCTGCCAGGCCCCAGGCTAGGCACACAAAGCCGAACTGGCCATGATCTCCATCCTCTGGAAGCTCAGCTCAGGCCAACTAACATTGATTGAGCACCTTCTGTATGCGGGTGCTAGGGGTAGCACCACACTACTCAGAACCCAGCCACTTCACTGTGGCACCATCATCGCCTGCTGGGACTGGTGCAGTAGGCTCCTCACAGGTCTTCCTGCGCCTGTCCTTGCCCCGAGCCTTACAATCCATTCTGCAAATGAAGCTCAGCAGGGTCTCTACAAATGATAAATCAGATCATGTCTCGGCTGCTTGAAACCCTCCACTGACCCTGACATAAAAATGAAAGCTTACCTTTAGAGTGGAGAGATCTGGGGGTCACCACCCAACCGATCTGAAATCACTGGGACCACCTGACATTTTGGGCCCCTTGGTGGCAGGAGATATAAGGAAGACACAGCCCCACTTGGGCTCAACTTATTCAAGGCATTTCTCTTTATATAAAGTCAGGGAGGCGGAACCCATTAAATGTCACTGTAAGGAAACCATCAGATACCACAACTGTCCTGGACTCTTCATTAGAGTCACAGTTGCCGAACACACCCCAAATGGCCCTCAATGGGAGAATGGGTAAACCACGCTTCATCTACAGAGTGCCTACGGTTCAGCTCAAAAAGCTGCAGGACACACTCCATAACGTGGAGAAGTGCTCATTTTGTGCTGAGCAAAAGAGGCCTTGGACACGGCGTACACACTGCATGTTCCATTTCCATGAAGTTCTAGGACAGCCTAAACCAATCTGTGCTGATAGAAATGAGGATCTGTGGGTGCCTCGGGCGGGGGTAGGGATTGCCTGGCAGGAGCCAGAAAGACCTTCTGGGAAGCTGGAAATGTTCTGTATCTTGATCTGGGTGATTACACATGTACAAATTCCCAAGCTGCACGTTTAAGATTTATTCCCTATATGTCTGGCATATCTCAATATTTTAAAAAAATTATCAAATACATAAGCTTTTTAAGTCTATGTTAGGGCTAGGTGCAGTGGTTCATTGGCGGCTGAGGCAGGAGGATCGCTTGAGCCCAGATCTTTTTTATTTTTTTGAGACAAGGGTCTTGCTGTGTTTCCCAAAGTCCCCATGCAGCCTGGCCAACATGGTGAAATCCTGTCTCTACTAAAAATACAAAAATTAGCCAGGCATGGTGGCAAGCGCCTGTAATGCTAGCTACTTAGGAGACTGAGACAGGAGAATCTCTTGAACCCCAGAGGTGGAGGTTGCAGTGAGCTGACATTGTGCCACTGCACTCCATCCTGGGCAACATAGTGAGACTCTGTCTCAAAAAAAAAAAAAAAAAATTCCCCAAGCATGATGGTGCACACCTGTAGCCCCAGCTTCCTAGGAGGCTAAGGCAGGAGGATCACTTGAGTCTAGGAGTGTGATGCTGCAGTGAGCTGTGATCGCAGCACTGCACTCCAGCCTGGGCGACAGAGTGAGACCCTGTCTCAAAATAAAATAAAATAATAAAAAGTCAATGTCAAGGATAATGAGTGGGAGACTGTCTGAGTTTAAAAGAATTTAAAGTGGCATAGCAATCAAGTGCAACATGTAAATTTTCACTAGATCCTAGGAAAGAAATGAAGGGAGTGAAGAAGGAAGGAAGGAAAAAAGGAAGGAAGGAAGGAAGGAAGGAAGGAAGGAAGGAAGGAAGGAAGGAAGGAAGGAAGGAAAGAAGGGAGGGAAGGACGGAATGGAGGGAGGGAGAAAGAAAGGAAAGAAGGGAGGGAAGGAGGAGGGGAGGAAGGAAGGAAGGAAGGAAGGAAGGAAGGAAGGAAGGAAGGAAGGAAGTCAGTCCACCAGCTAACCCAAGTATCTGAAACATTTTGTGATTTGAGTATGGGTTGAGTATTACAGAAGTATTTGAATTTTATTTTCTCTGGTAATAACTGTATTGTGCTTAGATAGAGGAACAACTTTGCCTTGCCTTTAAAAGACACATGAATAATATGTAGAAGTAGGAGGCACGAAGTCTGCAAGTTACCTTCTAATGGCTAGGCAAAAAAGGGGCAATGCACCAAAATATGAACAGTGGTGGAATCTAGGTTGGGTATATATGAGTGCTTATTCTATAGTCTTTAAATTTTTCTATATTTTAGGACATTTTTATAAAAAGGGGTTGAGGGTACAATGAATAAAATCTAAGGTCCCGGCTATGGCCTGAGAGGCTATGTCATCCAGCCCCTGACTCCTTTGATCTCAGCCCCTTCAATCTCCCCCTTGCTCTCCCTGCCCCTGCACCCCCCCACACACAGACACATATACACACACAGGCACGCACATATATACATAGTCATGCATGCAGGCACACATGCACATAACTTTCTCACCGGTCAACCCTGGAGCTGGGAGAAGTGGGGAAATGGATGCCTCTCCCTGCACAAAGAGGAATCCCCCTTTTCTCCAGATGGGAAATCTTTCCCAAAAGGCCCCACGTAGACTTTCTCTTACATCTCATTGGCCAGAACCTAGTCACACGCCCACCACAAGCCTGTTGTTGGCCACAGAAAATGGGATGGCTGGTACTGGTACAGATAGGTCCCCTGTGGTGGTGCCTATTGCCCCCTCCCCCTAAATAAGAGTTATCTTGGCCAGGAGGAAAGGGGGTGGCCACTGGGAAGACAAGGCCGGGGTGGCCATAGTGCATTTCTGGAACTTGGAGATGGTGAGGCTCTTTGGTATCTGGGCCTTCCAGCAGGTCTGGGGAACAGCTGGTGGCCTCAATCCCATTCTCCAGACGGGGCAATAGAAAATCAGAGGGGTGGAATGACTTCCCACTCCTGGCTTGTCCAAGTCTCAAACCTCTGTAATTGGAAAGGCTGCGAGGGCAGGATGGGCAGAACATGGTGTGTGAGAAGTTCCGCTGGGCGGGGAGATACAGCAAGGCTTCACGGAGAGGGGTGGTGCTCAGCGCTTGCAGCATGGAGGGGATTTGGATGAAGGTTGGAGAAAGTGTCAGGTGGGGCACAGAGGGAGCAGGACAAGGAGGGCAGAGCACTAGGCACATGTGGGCAAGAAGAAGGAGGAGGAGAGCTGGAAAGGAGGGCGGGGCCAGATCTGAAAGCCACCGGAGTGCTGGAAGAGAGACTGTTCTCTGTTCCCCAGGCAATGAGGAGCTGCTGAAGATTCTAGGGGTAAGGGCAGAAGCATCTTACAGAAGCTAAGAGTACCAGAGGAGTGACATGGAGACCAGGAGACCACGGAGGAGGCTGGTGCAGGGCTGTGGACACAGTGGGGAGACTCAGAGACAGCTCTGGAGGCTGAGGCTTGTCGGGCCATTTCTTTTGGGAGAAAGCCACCCAGGAAGGAAGTCCCTTTTGGCAATCCACTTCAGCACTTCATAGCACAGATGGAAAGTTCTGTCTACCCTAAATCAAGCGTGCAATATGTCAGTTTTGGATTCCCACGCCACTGGGCCAACATCCACTGAATGCAGCAGGTAGGTGAAAGCCAAATCGTGGAAAGGTTAACAGCGTGGTCCTGGTGAACTTGGGAGTCAGAACACCCCTGCTGCGCCCCGCCTGCTCTGTTCTGACGAGCTATGTCCTCTGCCCCTGGAGCCCGTTCCCTGTCTGTGCAACTGGGACCTTAGCAGTCACAGTGGCAGTGCCCACACGTGTTGGGCCCTGGCCAGGCATGAGGTCTGCTCCAGGCTCTTTCCACGCACGGACCCAGGTGGACCATGGGAGGTCCAATGGCCCCGTGGCAGGGGGTATGGTGACTGCATTTTACAGAGGGAGGATAGAGCCCGCACTTATGGAGTTGTCCTGAGGGTGACACGCAT